TTTAAAATAAAATTTTTATACAATGAAATTCACAACATATCTTTCCCTTTGTATGATGTAGCCAGATAGACTCATATCTGAAGTGGCTTCTACGTCAAAGAATATTGAATATTCAAAGATTAACGATAAAAATCAAAATAAGGTGATTTATGGGAAATTCAATCCAATCGAATTAATAAAATCACAATTACCACTTCGAGGAAGGAAAATTATTTACATAGCAATATTTGTAATATTAATATTTGGTTCATTAATCAAATATTATAAAATGGGAGCTGGTTTTTGTGATAGTAAATTACGAGAGAATACCGAAAGTAAGACTAGATAATGTGTGGTTTTAAAAACATAACATTATATGTATATATTAAGTTGTCTTTAACTTACAGATTCTCTTTTTGAAGATAATTGTATTCCCTGCCCACCGTGCACCCATTGCTCGAAGGGTAAAGTCAATTCGTGTGATGAAGGTTTCGAGTTAGTGTCTTCTTCAATTCACTGGCTCAAACCATTCACCAGTAGATGCATACTTGACCTTAATCGTGAGCGAAGAGCTAAAGAATATACAAGACTACTTAAAAGTATTGTTTTCGAAGAAATTGGTAAAAATGAATGCGAATGTGATCATCGTGAATTTCTATTATTTCAGAATCTCCTTATTCTACTTCGTAACAAAAAATTAGTAAGTACCTAAATATAATAGTAATAAATATAAACTTAAATGTAATAATGTAACTAACAGCTTGTCGCTGATAATAGCCACTTCAGGATACTGACCAAAATTTTAAAACTTTTGCTCAACTTGCGTTGGAAAACTTGAGATCGGATGATCATGTTAAGGTTATCGATGAATGGTATGTTTTAACTTGTGAATTTCCATGTCATTACTTGAAATATATTTTTATTTTTTATTTGCATTTTGTCGCAACATGAAATACAATTTTATTTACTGAAAGCTTATTTCCAGGATTGGCTACAAAACTAATACCTATATAGTTCCAAAAAATCCAAGACGTTCTCTTGTCTGCCAAATTAAAACCTCTCTTTTTAAAATAAATTCTTTTGTTGACTGGATAAAGGAGCACTTATCAATTATTACTCATGCTAAATATCTTGGCAAAATTTGTATGCAACGCCCTGTTTTAATTATTATTATTGGTATGCAGTTTTAAATTTTAAATCATTATTTAAACGATCTATTTTTCAATCTTAACTTCATTTGAACAATTAGGACTTTATCTAGCCTGCCTTATTTTTTTGGGAGCAAGCATATTACTCCAAATAAAATCAGAAACTAGACCTGTAAGTAAACTAAATTTAATAAGTAGAGTTTTTAACATATTGAAAAGACTAAGCTATAACTATATAAAAACTATAATGAGGTTTCTATAGAAAAATTTAGTATCCTACATCATAAAAAGACAATTGGGGGTGAGTCAGTAGAAATGCACCATATTTTTTCTAAGTAAATTTTTTTAAAACTTTAAGCAAGAATAACTTATTCAAATTTAATAAAAATTTTTTTTTAAACTATTCTAAAAACTTGTAGAATTTATTTAAAAAATTTTTTACTAAGTTTGGCTAAGTTATTTTTGTTTGAACATTCAAAAAAATTTCTTTAAAAAAATATGGTGCGTTTCTACTGACTAACCCCCAATTATAGTTTGGGAGTTAATCGTGGCTCATATAAAAATGGTCTTCAATGTATTGAACCGCAGAAAGCTGAACTCACCAATTTGAATATGAAAACGACCCTTATTTTGAAAATTGCACAGACGTTCTATTTACTCGAATGTCAGATTCATAGACAACAGCTATGTATAAGCGCGAAATAACACTCGCATGAACAGTATTTTGGGTATGCCCATGTGCATTACTTCGAAATAAGAGTTGATTTTTCTGAATTCAATAAATTATGGATGCACGTTAATTGAGAGCTAATTTGAGACCATATATGATATTTTTTAAAAACCCGATTTTCAAAATAACGTTATTTCTCGCTTATACGGGTATAAATTTTTAAAAGAATGCCACACAAAATAAGGAATGATGAAATTTCTTTTAGACAAATATAAACTAAACATATACTATTACCGAAATAAACAGACCTCCTTATCTAGAACCGCAAACGCTGATTCGATCTCTTCATTTGGAATTTTAAATACTAAAATTCATAATACTAAAATTTATAAGACTAAAATTACGGTGTTATCAATCGATGATGCGGAGTATTTATCCATTAACCGATTTTTTCTCTCGGGACTTCCCTACCGCACTATTCTTGGAATATTGAAATTAGATATGCCAACTAAGCTTGTAGAAGCTCATGAAAAATACAAGAAACAGAATTATGGTATGCTAACACATATAATGTTCCATGGCACAAAATCTTTATGTGATTCCCAACGATTTATCACAAATCCAAGAGCTGGATTTTGTAAATCTGGTTGTGGTGTTTGTGGAATCATGCAAGAAGGTAACAAAATAAAATATGCTTCTAATCGCCGCAGTAAGTAGTCATTGTTTTTTTTTATTTGTTCTGTTTAATTTATTCGATTAATATCAACGTTAATACGTCTTTTTTTTTCATAAGATATGTGGTTTGCCAACAGTTCATCAACATCATATAATTATTGCAACACATCTCTTATGTATCGTTGTTATAGTGACAAATATTATTCAACTACAAATGCAATGTTTGTTGTCGATGTTGTTGCTAGATATTATGAATCAGTACTCATAGTTGAACGTGACGAGGTATGCTCTTTATTGGTTGCTATGCAACATTTATATGCTAACACTTTTAATTTTAATGATCTTGTGTCAAATTCAGGCTGTCATACCAAAATATCTTATCATATTTCAATGAGGAGGATTGATGCGCGATTTGATGTTGTAAACCGAGTTAATATAATACATGTAATTTAATTGATTTAGAAATACTATTTTGCTTATTAGGCCTTACACGTGTATTTATTTTCCGGGTAAAACAGCATTAATTCCTTTTTTTTTCATAAATGTTATAGCCTATCTCTTATACATTTCCTCCTTGGAGCACGTAAATACTTAATTTATGAAACCAAATTTTTTGTCTCAGTTATATGTATGTTATTGTATTTAGGTAGCATGTATTTACTTAAGATCTGGTTACAGGATGCAGTAGACTCTCAGTCAATTTATAGATGTTGGAATCTATTAAGATCTTGTTCTTTAAAATAAGCAAAAAACTAAATGCAGAAAAAAGCTAATTCATGAACTTGCGTAAATTTATTAGACATAAATTAATCAATTTATGCATGAATAATACTACCTCTATTAATTAGGTTTAAAAATTTTATAAACTTTATTTTTGTCAGCTTTTTTTTTATTCATATCATCTCAATGTGTTTCCATAATATTCATCTGCTTCTTCACCTTTTATCAGCTTTATCATCTTTTGCAGGTTCACAATTTATTAATTTTTATCAGTTTATCGCTTTCCATCAGTTCGTCAGTTTCATCAATTTTCATCAGTTTTATTATTTTGACATTAAAATTTTAATTAACGAAAGATGAAGCTAGGTTTTGATTTCCAGAGTGAAACCTCTGGTTTTCATCTTGAACTATACAGTCATATTAACAAAATTTAAAAAGAGCAGTTGCATCTATGTGACTGTTTTTTTTATAGAATTATTAATAAAAATTAGGACAATGCTATAAACAGTAAAGAATTAGTAAATATTCTTTGTCAAAGCTTTATGAAACGCTATAAACATTATCAAATTGGTAATCAAATTATTTGTAGAATGAACTTGCACTCATCCTTGATTCTAATAATAGATGTATTTCGAAAAATGTGTAAACTTTAATATTTATTTTTTATCATTCTATGATATTTTATTTATGCTCTACATGACTTCGTGGTCTAGAATGTTATTCTAGTAATGCGTATAGTGCATTTTATAATATAACAATTGATTAATCAACTATAGGAGATTTAATATTACTTTAAAAGATGCAACTCTCACTTATAGAATTTGATCCTCACAATGTTATTTCAATACAATTTCATAAGGTGCATTTAACAACAATTAATATGCACAGAGCTAGTTCTCATCTGCATAATCACAGGTAAAAATAATACATATTTTTAAAAAAATATTTTAAAAATATATAATGAGGGGTTTCAGAATTAAAAAAAAAATAGCGTATTTCGGAAATAAATAAGAGTTTAAAAAATCTTATTTGTGTATCAAAATTTTGAAATCGGAAAATGAAATGGGAGTGTCTAGAGACTCCCCTTTGACGAAATAAGTAAAAATTTTTTTATTATGCAGATCAACAAACTATTTAATTACAAAATACGGAATAATAAAACTTTTCGCTCAAATAACTTTCGTTCAAATTATTTATTGAGCCTTAGTCTAAATTACTTACTGAACCTTCACTTAAGGTATTTTTTATATAATTTACTAAACCTTTGCTCAAATTATTTACTAAACTTTTGCTCAAATTACTTATTAAACCTTCGCTCAACGCTCAAATTATTTACTGAACCTTCGCTCAAATTATTTATTGACCTTCGCTCAAATTACTTACTAAACTTCGCTCAAATTACTTACTGAACTTTTGCTCAAATTGCTTATCAAACATTTGCTCATATTATTTTTATATAACACTTACTAAACCTTCGTTCTAAATCTTCATTCAAATTATTTATTAAACCTTTGTTCAAATTTTTTTTTATATAACTTACTGAACTTTCGCTCAAATTACTTATTGAATTTTATTCAAATTTTTTACTGAATCTTTATTCAAATTTTTTACTGAATCTTGCTCAAATTACTATTAAACCTTCACTTAAAGTATTTTTTTTATATAACTAGGCGCCTGAGTCACTTAAATGGAGTTAGAGATACCTGATATTGTATTATGTAGTACAAGGACCGCACGTTATGATTAAACTTCATGGCTGTGATAGTGATTATGCTCTATATCTGACGCAGGCAATGCAAGAACCTATGTTGTGATTAGGCTCTATAGCAGCCGCAGGCAGTACAAGAACCTCATGTTTTGTGATTAAGCACCATAGCTATGTTAGCATGGATGCGATAGCAATGCAAGGATCTCATGTTGTTATTAGGCTCTATGGCTATCGCAAGAATCTCATTTTTGGTGATTAAGCTCTACAACTATGATAGCAGTACAAGTACCTTATATTGTAATTAGGCTCCGTGGCTGCGATAGCAATGCAAAGAACTCATGTTGTGATTAGGCTCTATTTCTGCCGCAGGCAATGCAAGAACCCATGTTGTGGTTAGCACAAGAGCATTAAGGGCCGTAGTTATGATAGCAGTGCAAGGATCTCACGCAATTAGGCTCCATTGATGCGATAGCAATTCAAGGATCTCATGTTGTGATTAGGCTCTATGGCTGTCACAGGCAGTGCAAAAACCTCATTTTTGGCGATTTAGCTTTGCAACTATGATAACAGTACAAGGACCTCATATTGTTGTTAGGTTCTGTGGCTGCGATAGAATAAATTAATCAAAATTCAATTAAATAGAACTAACGATACATTTTCATACTTATTAAATATGTTAAATATATTGCATAATTTAAAAAAAATTTGAACCAAAAAAAAGCTTTTATATAATCTACTCTAACCATACCTTATTAAAAAAACAAAATAATAATAATGCTTTTCTGCTAAATCACATGTAATATTGTCCATGCATATTTTATTTCAATTTTGTTATTTACAAATTGAAAGTATAGAAACCTATAAAGCACAGAACAATTGATAAAGTACAAGATGAAAAGTTTTATTTAAAAAGTTTCTATAAATGCATGTATGTACAATAAGTAAATGCAGGTCTATCTGATAGAATTTAAATGGTACTAATCACTATAGCTAATTACTCAATAATAACTGGCAAGATACGCTATAAAAAGAAAATATTTAAATATTATAAGGTTTAACTAATAAGATACATGAGCAATGAACATAAAGTTTACTATTGTACATGTATTTTTAGCATGTAAATCCAAAATAAAGTTTCATAGCAATACATACATCGAATTATGGATGATTTAACTTATTGAATTCCTATAAATACGATAAATTTTTATACAAAAATCCTTTCTGCTTTAGTTTGAAAGAAAATGTGGCAGATCACAAGTAAGATTGCAGCTAATTAAAAAGATGCCTAACGCTAATAATAAACTCTATTAGAAATGATCTGCTGCATGTCGACAAAATAAAAATGCATGTCTATGAAGATCTATTAGGAAAAAATTTATTTATTTATATGCGGTTCAATTTTAAGAATCAGTAAAAATTATAATTACGTTATTTCCACAGCCTTGTATCGCTGTAATGATAATGTGATCAAACTCAAAGGTTTAATTGAATGAATGAGTGAGCATAAGATATACAAAGGAAAAAAAAGAATGAAATTGTGTAGGTAAATATTTATTTTTATTGAAAAAATTTACTATGAAATAGAATCTTTTTATTTATTAATATGAAATTTTTTTGCACAAAAGTGATCTAAAAAATGAATATAGTATATTAAATAATTTGAAAAAAAATAATAAGTAAATAATTTTATGTTGCGATGAAAAAAATTAAGATTTAATTTATTAGAAAGCAGAAATTAGTTGTCAAATAAATATAAGAGCGAATTTTCTTGCGTAAATCAATATTACAAGTTGTTTTCACGTGAGAGATTAAAAATTATAAATACAACCTGAATACAATAAAAAATTTTTTGGGGGCTTGATCAAATTGATCAAATTGATCTAATATAATACTAAATTATCACCATATGACTTACTATATACAATCAGAATGAATACACCAATTTTATGGTAAGGATCAATAAAAACCAAACTCCAACATTTAGTTGAATTGGCATATTGGCTTTTTTCAATTTCTTCATCACAAGCAGGTTGTGAGAGAAATTTTTCTACTTTAAAATGGATGATTAGTAATTAAAGAACAAGATTATGCATTGAAAAATTAGAAAGCATAACAAAAATTTGATCATATTATATGACAAATATCAAATTTGAATTGAATGACTATAGTAAAAAACTTACTGAAATGCAGTTACAAGATGCTGTTAACCTTTCTTCAATTGCTGAGGTAATAGGTCTGGAAGAAGATTTGTTTAATTTAAATAAAATATCTAAAATTTTTAGAAATGCACAAAATATATTGCTAATTAATAATGTAGTTAACTTGTCTCAATATAACTTAGAAAATGAAATACATACCACCAATAGCACTGATTTATTAAATAATTCTGGAAATATAGAATATTTATCTGAAGATTTAGTAGATAGATTTTTAGCTAAAGAATAACAAGCTAAATAAATATGCTTGAAAAAAAAAATTATTATTCATATAAATTTTTAATATAATGTTTTTTTCTCTTTATTTAAAAAGAAACTTTGTAGATAAACTGAGCCAATTTTGGCCCTTTTCATTTTGTGAATGAAAAAAATTTGTATGATGTATCAAAATATGCAAAAAATAATTTGAAACATGTGAATATGCATTTAGATCAAAAAATGTAAATGATCATTAAACTTTAAATATTTGAATGCTTTTAAATATTGCTTGATTCATTTGTGTGGTTCAAAATTTATTGATATTCTAAAACTGCTATAATGATTAATTCAGTTGATTATTCACCAAATATTCATTATTCCAAACAAAATTACATCAGTTATAGCATGTTATTCGATGCCCTCTAGTGGTTTTTAATTTAAAAAAAAATAAAATTAACCCAATTTTAATATAAAATTTAATTTTTAATTCTTAATTCTTCTAACAATACTAGTTATTTTTATTCAATTATTCAACACTAGTATATAAATACA